CGTCGTATACAATCAGTGTATAATTCCGGGTCTCAATCCCCTATGGAGTTCTTGCCTATGGAGTTCTTGCATGAATAGAGTGCCAGCAATCCCTTCTTGGAGCGTTCCTCAACATTCCTATTCCACAGTAAATTGCGGTCTAGGATAGTGCCAAGATATTTAGCTTCATCAGAAAGGGTTAAAGTCACTCCACCAAGTGATGGCAGGCGGAAACTAGGAATTTTGTATTTCCTAGTGAAGAGCACCAATTCGGTTTTAGTGGAGTTTACACCAAGACGTTTGGTGCAAGCCCAATTTGACAGGGTTGAAAGGGCACCCTCCAGGATGTATAGAAGCACAATGGCAACGGATTTCTCCCTACAAACTGCAGCAATAGCAACACTTGGGTACCAAAAACCACCATCAAGAAACCCATAGTACGATCAGAAGTGTCGTAATGCTATCGATGTGAAAAACGCAGCGTATAGGGCAGCCCTGCAGACAGTAACCACACGTAACGTGATGGAGAATTATCGGGAGAAGAGGAGAGAAGAAAGAACAAGAAAAACGTGAGCGTGAGCAAATCGAGATGTACAGGAGTCAGAATGAAGTCCGGAAATTTTGCCAACGAGTAAAACACCAAACCGAAGGTTTTGGTGCAGGCACATCCTCCTGTAGAGATGAAGAAGGAAACCTGGTGACAGATACAGACAGCGTGTTGAGGATCTGGAAGGAGCATTTTGAAAAACTTCTGGTATCAAATAGTAGCGGTGAAGATGATACCCCAGAACCAATAATAGATGACGGTATAGGGTGTATACCATCTAGCCAAGATGAGGTCAGAATAGTAATCAATCGGCTGAAGAATAATAAAGCAGAGGGTGCCGATGAGTTACAAGCCGAACTATTCAAGTGTGGTGGTCAAATGCTGGTCAGGAGCATTCACCAGCTGATTAGTACAATTTGGCTAGAGGAATACATGCCCAATGATTAGGACCTCAGCATGCTGTGTCCCGTACACAAAAAAGGAGACAAGACGATATGGAATATAGAGGAATAAGTATCCTTCCCATCACGTATAAAGTGCTATCCAGCGTACTGTGTGAACGACAGAAGCCAATGGTCAATGACATTATTGGACCATACAAATGCGGTTTCAGACCTGGCAAATCCACCATTGACCAGATTTTCACCCCACGCCAAATCCTGAAAAAAATTCACGAAAAACACATAGGCACATTCCACCTATTCGTCGACTATAAAGCCACATTCGACAGACCTATTCGTTCAGAGGTGTTTAAAGCCATTTCTACGTTTGGCATTCCTGCAAAATTAATTCGGCTATGCAGAATAACTTTAACTGGTACAAGATCAGCAGTTAAAGTCGGAAAGGACCTCTCGGAGCCCTTTAATATCGAACGAGGATTCGGACAAGGTGAGAGTTTGTCGTGTAACCTTTTTAAAATCCTGCTGGAAAAGGTCATACGAGAGGCAAAGGTAAATAGAAATGGCACTCTGTACATCAAACAACACATGTTACTCGCCTTCGCCGATGACATCGACATAATGTGTCGAGCATTGAGAGCGGTAACAGCCACCCTTGAACAAATTGAGATGGAGCCGGCCAAAGTGGGTCTGGCAGTAAACGGCGAGAAGACCAAGCTGATGGTATCAACGCGCAATACGTCGAGTAGATTCGGACCAACTGTGGAACTTCAGAACTACAGGTTCGAGGTAGTCAAAGATTTTATATACCTTGGTACCGCCATAAATAAAACTAATGACATCAGTTTTGAAATTTGGAGAAGGATAGTGTTGGCCAACAGATGCTACTATGGTCTGAGTAAGCAACTCAAAAGCAAGGCCACCTCCCGCCAGACCAAACTCATACTCTACAAGACGCTGATACTACCCGTGCTATTATATGGATCTCAAGCATGGGCACTTACGCAAGCAGATGAGCAGCTCTTGGAGTGTTTGAGAGAAAAATACTCCGAAAGATCTATCGCCGTCGAATCAACCATGAGCTGTACCAGCTATTCTCGGACATCGGCATTGTTAGGCGTATTGAGCTGCAGCGACTACCTTGGCTAGGTCATGTTGTGAGAATGGATGAAGATGCCCCAGCCCAGAAGGCATATAAAAGCGAACCAGCTGATGGTTCATGCAGAAGGGGAAGGCCACGAATAAGGTGGAAAGATCAAGTGGAAGACAACATTGCCGATTATGGTCTTCCAAATTGGAAAAACTTCGTAAAAGACAAAAGAAAGAAATCTTTTTTAAGCTCGGCTTGTGGAACGAAAGTTCTGTCACAAGCTAGCTAATTAAGTAAGTATACAAAAGGCGGGAATTTTATAAATATTTCATTTCAAGACCCTACACAAAGTGTGGATTTTGATTTTTGTTTTTTTCAAGACCCTACACAAATTCTACCTAATATACCTAATACCTAACATCGATCGAAACCCATTATATACGACTATGACAATCTTTCAAAATAAACAAAAGATCCGATGAAAAGGTTGGCAACTCTATTGGCAACTCAGACAAATTTGTCTAAGCAGATATAGAAGAAAGGAACTCCGTCCACTCGCTTAATTTTGCCTATTTGTTTTTCATTTTCGGAGTAAGATAATAATTTTTCTCCCAAACTAGGAAAATAACAAGTGAAAAAGCGTTAAGTTCGGCCGGGCCGAACTTTGCATACCCTCCACCATAGATATACTGACAGGTACTTGAAATGAAAATATAGGGAACATACCAAAAAATGGACATATACCGACAATCCGATTATGTAAACAATAATTTTTAATAGAAAATTATACCCCACAGCCTTATGGATAATTAGTGTGGATACACTTTCACGCTGTGAAAATGTGCCTCATCGAAATATTGGTTCTAGACCCCATGTTTCTTGGGTCCAAATCCGTTTAAGAAAAATTTGATTCCATCCCATCTTATTATGTCTTTCAAACTTAGTTCAAGTCCAAATTTGGGGAATATCGGTCCATGCCTTCTGGTACCTCCCACACAGGGGCTACGGCTAAGCCTAAATGCGGGCTATAGTTCACATATGGTTCATTATCGAACCGTACGTTCTAGTTTTTTATCTCGATATCCTTCGCAGGTGAAATGATTAAAACAGAGTGTTAGAACCAAACCCAAAACGCGGAAAAATCAGATAATTATATTAATATAAAAAAATGGGGTTATATGGGGACTACGCCTAAAAGGGGTTGACTATTAATAATTTTTGGTAGGGAAATTTGTTTCCATATACGGCTACAAAATACCAAATTTCAGTGATTTCGGTTGAAAAACGCGCTCAAGAACCTCCAAATTCCGAAATTTGGGGGTACCAGAAAAAAATGGACTTATATTTATAATTTTTAGTGGAGATATTTGGTACCCAATAAGAACCCAATATACCAAATTTCAGCAAATTCGGTTGAAAAACGCGCTCCAGAACCCCAAAATACCGAAATTTGGGGGTACCCTTATATGGGAGCTACCACAAAAAATGGACTTATATTTATAATTTTTAGTGGAGATATTTGGTACCCAATAAGAACCCAATGTACCAAATTTCAGGGAATTCGGTTGAAAAACGCGCTCAAGAACCTTAAAATACCGAAATTTGGGGGTACCCTTATATGGGGAGCTACCAGAAAAAATGTACCTATATGCATAATTTTTTTGTGGAATGATTTGGAACCTATTTACAACTCAAAGTACTAAATAACAGCCAATTCGGTGGGAAAATACGAACAAAACCCCTAAAATACCGAAAATTAGGATGTACCAGAAAAAGTGGGCCTATATTTATAATTTTTTGTGGCGACATTTAGTACCCATTAAGAACCCAATGTACCAAATTTCAGCGAATTCGGTTGAAAAACGCGCTCAAGAACACCAAAATACCGAAAATTTGGGGGTAGCCTTATATGGGGGGCTACCAGAAAAAATATACCTATATGCATAATTTTTTGTGGAATAATTTGGAACCTATTTAGAACTCAAAGTACTAAATTACAGCCAATTCGGTGGAAAAATACGACCAAAACCCCCAAAATACCGAAAATTAGGAGCTACCTTTACATGGGGGCAACCAGAAAAAGTGGGCCTATATTTGTAATTTTTTGTGGCGACATTTAGTACCCATTAAGAACCCAATGTACCAAATTTCAGCGAATTCGGTTAAAAAAACGCGCTCAAGAACCCCAAAATACCGAAAATTTGGGGAAAGCCTTATATGGGGGGGCTACCAGAAAAAATGGACCTATATGCATAATTTTTTGTGGAGTGATTTGGAACCTATTTAGAACTCTAAGTACTAAATTACAGCCAATTCGGTGGGAAAATACGAACAAAACCCCTAAAATACCGAAAATTAGGAGGTACCGTTACATGGGGGCTACCAGAAAAAGTGGGCCTATATTTGTAATTTTTTGTGGCAACATTTAGTACCCATTAAGAACCCAATGTACCAAATTTCAGCGAATTCGGTTGAAAAACGCGTTCAAGAACCCCAAAATACCGAAAATTTGGGGGTAGCCTTATATGGGAGCCATGCCTAAACGTGGACCGATATATCCCATCTTCGAACTTGACCTGCCTGCAGACAAAAGACAACCCTATGCAAAATTTCAGCACTCTATCTTAATTCCTTCGGAACATAGCGTGATTACAACAGACGGACGGACGGACATGGCTAGATCGTCTTAGAATTTTACCCTGATCAAAAATATATATGTACTTTATAGGGTCGGAAATGAATATTTCGGTGAGTTACAAACGGAATGACAAAATTAATATACCCTCCATACAGCAACGTACACAGGATTTCATTTCTGTGGGGGGGTGGTCCCGGTAGTACAAAATGAAAAAAATCGCTGTTGCAAAGATAAATTTACTGTGAAAAAAATGCATTCATTCATACGTCCCTGCCTCCATACTATTGTGGGGAGTATAAAAAAATATTGCCGATTAGGGAACACAACTATAGTTAGAGAACAACTTACCTGTAATATAGGGTGATGATTGTGATTATTATTACTGCTACTGTTGCCACTGTTGTTGTTGTTGTTGCTACTGCTATTATAATCCATTGAGTCTGCTAAGATACCCTTTGAAGGTGTTATTGTTGTTGTTGCGGTTGTCGAATGCTGATGATGCAGTAGATGGTGTTGTTGTTGCTGCTGCTGATGTGGGTGTTGTTGTTGTTGTTGGTGTTGATGATGTTGCAACGAATACGGATCAAACAGCGATTGTAAATCGAAAAAACTCGGTTGATATTGATGGGGGTTGTTGTTATTGTTGTTGTTGTGGTTTGTATTGGTGGTATTGGTAACAACCGATAAAGCCATTCGGTCAGGAGCTTTTCAAAAGCCCAAAAAATCGCAAGTGTTTTTTGAAAAAAAAAGTAAAAAAAAAAATAGTGAAACGGAAACGCAGCCGAATTTACGCGGCAATTTCAAACGGATCTCTGTTCTCTCTCTCTTTCTCTTTTCGCTCGTTCACTCTCAATAACTCACAGATCAACGGCACAAAGGAATTATTACGATTTATCGATTACAATGGATGACGACGTCTAGGCGTTTGGCGGCGACGTTTAACTCCCTAACGCCAAGAAACACGGTGTGGCTAAATTTAGGCGTTTTTCTTATTGGCGATTTTCGGTGGCCTCTTTTCACGAGACAACGATTGTTTTTTGACGAGAATCAAGTTTTTTTTTTTCGAACTTTATTGGTTTGGATATTTTTCTTTGCCAAAATTGAAACGTTACATTTCTTGTTTTTAAAAAAAAAATAAAAGTGTTTACTAACAACCAAATATTTTCACTATTTTTGTTTAAAATTCCTTGGCTATTTTTTTTTGTTTTTTTTTTATTAACTAAAAATTCTTTAATTTCCTTGTTTTTAAATGCACTTTTCTTTTTGGGGGGTTATATAATAATTTTTTTTCTAAGTTTGGTATAGTTGTTAAATGGAAGTTTAGTTTTCGCTTATATTCTGGTTTTTCTTCTTGTTCTTTTTCTTATTGCGTTATAAGTTCTATATTTCTTTTTATTGTTATTGCTGTTGTTGTTGCGGTGAGTGAAACGTAACGGACGACAGCCGGCGAAATTAAAATAATACAAAAAAGGAATTGTACAGTTTCTTGATACCGGTGGTCTCACGTTGACGATGGCTACGCAATAGGGTGTTTTCAATTTTCAACAGCATCTTGTTTTTCAGGCACATAGAACACTCCCAATACTCATTGAAGGATGGCAACGACAGCAGCGGAAATGACGACGACGACAACGACAACAACTTATCAAAGTGGCGTGCGATTTTCCCCATTTATTGCAAATTGGTAGAAGTAGACGGCAATGTTCTTTGCTTCGGCCAGATTGAATTATTTCAAAAAAGAGATTTTTGTTTAACAATTTTCAATAATAATTTGTAATTGTTTTTTCGTTTTTATTTTAAATCTTTCCAATTTAATAGATTTTTATTTAAAGTATTTTAAGGCTTTGTCAAATAGATTTCACCATTATAACAATTGTTTGCTTTTTCTATTCGTAATATTTATTTTCACACTTCCGTTTTATAAGTTTTCAACACGATTTTTTAATTAGCAAATTTTTTTTCAATTCGATACGATCTGTAAATAAAAGAAAGAACGAAATAAATTAATTATTGTATGTATGTAAATCCGGTAAAATAATTACTTTATATAGTAATAATATCTATATAATTAATTGCAAGAAAATTCTGCACAGGATATGCGACATGATCTACTGGATTAAATTAGCCAAGTACAATGTAAACGTAATATAAAGGTGCATTTCTGGATTGTGCGATAAAAAAAAATTTCCTTTATGATATCAAAAAAAAAAAATAGTAAAAAAGTAAATTATAATGGATTATTGGGGGCCATATTTTGTATATGATTAATAAAAGCGACACAAAAGATGTGGCATCCTGTTTCGTGAATTAAAAGCTAGATGGCGTTGACAACGCTATGTTATACAGTAGTTTTTGCTAAGAGTCCACAAATATAGTTGTTTGTAACATATATATTTGTAACTGTGCACATATATATTTGAAGATTTAAGAGAGAAGAAAAATAATTTCCAAAAAAAATTTTGTTATTGTTTTTTGTAATTGAAGAAAAGTCCTTATTTTTGATGGCGGGCATGATAACTCCCCACTGGAACATCGGAATCCGAGAATTCCAACGGTGTTAGAAAGAGTACATGTCTGGCTCTCGTGTGAACTAGGATAATTGACTTCGTTCTAAAATTAACAAAATGGCGCAACTTTGAAAAAATATTTTTGGAAAATCGCCGATTTTTTACCAAAAACCAAGTGAAAAAATAAGGAAGATCTTCACCGATTGACTTTATCCTAGTCCATACGATAGCTATACACTCACAGAGAAACGTGTAAAAATTTGGAATCGATTGGGTCATTAGTTTTTGAGTTATCGTGCCCGCCATTCGCAAAAGAGAATGGTGAGAAACGCGTTTAAAGTTTGAGAAGCCCTTTAGCCGTCACTTGATGCTGACACAATAAATCGGCTATATCTTCAACGCTCAAAATTATGTATTTGGTCCATATAATCCTCTAAATATTAACCGATATTTACCAAAAACAAATGCCAAAACCATCCCTACATGCAAAATTTCGTGAAGATTGGCCCATAACTGTGGCCTGTATCGTGTTTAGAAATTATAATGGACGGACGGGTACACATGTCTAGATCGACTCAGCTGGTCGAGATATGACGATCGGTATAGTTAAAGGTGGGTCTAGGACCAATATTTCGCGGCGTTACAAGCTTTTGGGGCTGCACAAAGCTATAATACCCTGACTACATAGTTGTGTAGGGTATAAAAATAAGGTGTGAGATCCATTTTAAACCTTTGAAGGATTAAATCAAGTGTAAATTGTTCACAATTTTTAAAACAATTCTGTAATGGATTCGAAACTATTCGAATCCTAATGTCTAGGCGTCTAAGTGCGGCCATAAAACAAAAATTATATCCAATAAGATACTAACTTATATTAGAATGCATATCTTTATTTTTTTATCTTGTTACTCTGTACGAGTACAAGTATGGATAAAATCTGTTATACTATCCGCGCGAACTAATTCGATTCTGAATTGTTTGAAATTGATCTGGCACTGGATAGAAAACTATTATATCAACAATGTTACAGTTGGGTAGTTCCGAAACGAATTGGATCATTAGAACTAATCCGCTAAGGGAACGATGAGAACTAGTTCCAGTTCTTTAGTTCCTTTTTCTAATGTTGTAACTATATTTGATATCGTTCCTTTATTCCCATATTATTCATTCCTTTTCGTTCGTTTTTCAGATGCTGTCATATCATTAAAAATATATTAACATATGCTCACCAATTTATCATTGTATATAAATTCTAAAATTATTTATGAACATAAAGTTAAAAAAAAATAATAAAAAGAAATATTTTGTTTTTATCGTTCTGCAGTTGAATTCGGTAGCTTCTGAATATTCTACTAATCCCATTAGCAGATAACCATTCCTTAACAAATATTGATGAATTTTTCGGGTCGTCGGTTCTAGTAGATGGATTTTCACGAAGAAGATTTTTTTCATCCGAAACGTAAAGAACCTTACTGATCGCGGGTACACATATCATTTAGTTGACAGATATAAAAATTTGGCTCGAAAAATAGGTTTTTTAGAAATTTGATCGCACAAAATTTCCACCTTCGGATAAGTATTACTCTGAAGCTGTGTATACTACATACACAAAATATATATATAATTACTCAGATTCGCGACTACAATAATCTTATAATCGATTTTTAGAAATTTCTGTTTGCGTATTAAAGCTAGAAGTAAAATCCAAAAAAATACATTAAAAATCGAGCTTCAAAATTAAAGGTAGATGCAGTTAAAATTGATACATAAGGGGCGTAGTCCCCATTTTGTTGACTTCTAGTTTTACTTTGACACGAAGACCGTGAAATGAGTGGTTTAATCACAAATCGATAGAGAACATAAAAATAAAATGGTTCGTCTCAACCTGATTTTACACATCTTTTTGCATTAAAGTAGACACAGCTTCCACCAAAATAAAGTGTGGAGGTCAATATTATGAACAGTTTGCAACGACAAATCAATTAACCCAAAACTATTCACTTTTTTTCATATACTTAAGTAATTCCCGAGTTATAAAGGGGGTGAAACTCCGCTTCAGCTATGTTAAAAAATTGGCAATATTGTCCATATAACTATGTTATATATTAAATTATCTGTTCAAGAACACTTTAAAATCTTCGCTTGTTTTCGATTTTCAATTTATAACTCGATATTTTATTAAATCGATATTTTTATTTGATTCGATGTCCTTGTTTTTTGTCTTTTTTTAATGCACTATGTCGCGAGTTCATATAAACAGCGGCCAAAAATAGAAGGAGTTATCGTAAGTTAATGAAATTTGGTGCATGTGCTTATTATTGGCCTATAGAACAACTGACAAAAAATTGGATAGATCGGACCAATATTTGGTATACCTCCCATATAATGGGTCTTGAGAATGTCACACTTTTTGGCCTATAAAATCTTTAATATTCAAACAAATTCAATGCAAATTGGCAATTTACATTTAATAAGGCCTATAAAGCAAATGACAAAAAACTGGGTAGAACGGATCAAGATTTGATATACCTCCCATACAAAGGGTCTTGAAAATTTTACTATTTTGGGCTAAAAATTCTTTAATATTCAAACAAATTCAATGCAAATTGGCAATTTACATTTACTTATGCCTATAAAGCATACGTAAATGTAAACTGGGTAGATCGGACCAAGATTTGATATACCTCCCATACAAAGGGTCTTGAAAAATCCACTTTTTGGACCTGTAAATTGTTTATATTCATCCAAATTCCATGAAAATGTTCATGCCTTCGACTAAATTACATCAAATTTGGGCGAAGACAGTAATAGGTGTTGTAATTTAGTTGTTGGCCCATATTTCAGGTACCTACCATACCAAAAGTCCCTAAAAATGTAATCTTCTGTACTATAAAATCGTTATATGCAGCTAAATTAATTATGGTAGTTTTATTATTGTTATTTTTATTATAATATAATAAATATTTGATATCTTTTAGTAACTAATAAATTACTTTTTTATCATTCACAAAATTTTCAAAACACACATCAGAGATATATATATATATATATATATATAAAATATTGGCTTCCCAAATGTACAATTTAGTATCATCCAGGTTATAATCTCGGGCCTTTAGTTTATGGCTGTTTAAGGATATCACAAGGTCGGATTGTAATATAAAATACTAAATAAAATCCTTATTTAACTTAGCTTTAACAAAAGTTCGGG